TCTCTCTCTCTCTCTCTCTCTCTCTCTCTCTAGTTTGTGCACGCGCATGCTTTTTTCCTTTTCTTTTCTAATATAAAAAGGTCTTCATGGACCACGGATCAGATATGAAACTGAATGGAGCAGATACTACGCTTGATCTTGAGGGGCGGGGGTGGGTTGCGGCCAGTTGCTGTCGATCGGAGCCTGCACTTGATCGTTGTGTGGGGGGGCAGCATAGTTGGTTAGATTGGGGTCTCTGTCCCTCTCTCACTTTCTCTCTATCGCGTGCACGCACGCACCCTTCTTTTTTTTTTTTGGTAAACCGTCTCCATGGACCACGGATCCCACACTACACATGATCGTTTGAGAGGGACGGGGAGGGGGGCACAGTTATGAGGTCTCTCTCTCTCTCTCTCTCTCTCTCTCGTGTCTCTCTCCCATGTCTTGGGTGTGCTTGTTTTTTCTTCTCCCCCATTTTTACCCGTCTCGACGAACCATGGATCTGATCAAAGCAGATACTGGGGGGGAAGGGGGGGGGGGAGGCGAATAGTTAGTTAGGTTGGGCTCTCTCTCTCTCGCGCACGCTCGCACGTGCTTTTAAAAAAAAAAGATCTTGAATCTCTCGATGGACCACGGATCAGATATGAAACTAATCGAAGCAGATACTACACTTTTGTGGGGGGAAGGGGGGAGGAGGCCCATTGTGAGTTACATGGGGCTCTCTCTCTCTCGCTCTCTCTCTCTCTCTCCCTCTCTCTCCCCCACGTCTTGCGCAAATCATCTCGATGGACCTCTCTCTCCCTTTCGCTCGCTCGCGCGCACGTGCTTTTTTTTTTTTTTTCTAAAACAAAAAGGCATTGATGGACCACAGATCGAATACTACGCTTGATCATGTAGAGGATCGGATATGAAACTGATTGAAGCATATACTACACTTGATCGCATGGGGGGAAAGAGGGGGGAGGCGCATAGTTAGGTTAGGTTCTCTCTCACTCTCTCTCTCTCTTGCATGCGCGCGCCTTTTTTTTATATAAATAATAACGGTCTCATTCTCTCGATGGACCACGGATCAGATATGAAACTGAGCAAAGCAGGTACTGCGCTTGATCGTGTGGGGGGAAGATAGGATATGAAACTGATCGAAGCAGATACTACACTTGATCGTGTGTGGGGGAGGGGGAAGGAGACCCATTGTTAGTCAGGTTGGGTTCTCTCTCTCTCTCTCTCTCTCTCTCTCTCTCTCTCTCTCTCTCTCTCTCCCCTGCACGTTTTGCGCGTACGTTTAAACCATCTCTCTCTCTCTCTCTCTCTCTCTCTCTCTCTCTCTCTCTCTCCCCTGCACATTTTGCGCGTACGTTTAAACCATCTCTCTCTCTCTCTCTCTCTCTCTCTCTTTCTCGCGCGCGTGTGCGCGCGTGCTTTTTTTTTCTTTTATAAATCTCGATGGATATGGAACTGAACGAAGTAGATAATATGCTTGATCGTGTGAGGGGGAGGATTGGATATGAAACTGATCGAAGCAGACAATATGTTTGATCGTGTGCGGGGGTTGGGGGGGTGAGGCGCATAGTTAGTTAGGTTGGGTTCTCTCTCTCTCTCTCTCTCTCTCCACAGTGTCTTGTGCACACGCGTATAAACCATCCCGATGGACCCTCGCTCTCTCGTGCGCGCGCATGTTGTTTTTTTTTTTCAATAAAAAGGTCTCGATGGACCACAGATCAGATATGAAACTGAACGGAGCAGATACTACGCTTGATCGTGTGGCGGGAAAGATCTGATATGAAACTGATCGAAGCATATACTACACGATCG